AGGGCTACTCAGTTGTACAGTTTCAGCTTGGGCTCTGGAGCTGTGTCATGGGCGTCTACTCAGTCGTCGTCTGTGACGCAGTCCAGTGGTTAGGCCGAGATCTACTTTGGTGCCATGGCTGTTCAAGAGCTCCGCTTGTTCACCTTCTTGCTCACTGACCTAGGTGAGCGGCCTAACTATGCACCGACCTTGTTCGCTGACAACAAGGCCATGATCTCCTATGTCGAGAGCCTTGACTGGAGAACATAGTGAAGCATATCGACTTGCGGCACTTCCTGTTGCGAGAGCTGCAGCGACGCGGGCAGGTACGCTTGGTCTTTGTTGCCTCAGCGACCAACACTGCATACATCTTCACCAAGGCCTTGACAGGTTCTGCTCACAGCTTGGCCCTGTTCAGACAGGTCCTCGTTTGATGTACGCTTGCCTTTGCTTGTTTTGTTGTCTATATATTTATATGAAATCTTGAACTGGCCTTGTGTTACGGGTGCAATGGAACGAGATAGCGAGGATTTCACTAAGTGTCAAACGAGTACAAAGTATGAGCGAAGGCATGAGCGAATACTTATATGCGAAACATGCAATGGTTACGCGGTGCATGCAAGCTAGCTAGTTCTAGGCTGGCATCGAGGTTCGGGCTAGTCCCGAAGCGTAGGCCGACTCGTCCAGGCCAGCGGGAGCATGGTTTGGTAAAACTGTGAGCGCGAAGTTGACGAAGCCTCGTTAGCAGTAACAGGCGAACAACGGCTTGCTGCTGTATGCGATGTTGAAGAACGCGGTAAGGAATGCTGAAAATTTCCTTACACCTTGGAATAAGTCATTTTGCGCCCATGACAGCTCATTCTGATTATACGTGCACGCAGTGAGCCGAACGAGGGTGAAGGGAACGGAAATCTGAAGTTGTGAGGATGCTTAACTGAAATTCGTTGCAATTTCCTGACCATGTTTTCTGGCATAATATGCAAAACAAAAATACAGGGGGTGTGCTTATATCGTAATACGCAAGCTGTTTAGGGTGCGCTTATCATCAAAGACCAGATGTACCGGCCCATACCAGATAGAGCGCATGCGTTTATCAGAGGCCTGCGATTATATTTGGGGGGAGACGCTACCGTATCGCCCCGGATATAACCGCATGCCTATTAAAAGCGCATGCGCTTTTATCTGGAGCAATGCGCTTACGGCCGATCCAAAATCGTTACTTATTATCAGCGCACCCTTTGCTGTAAAAAACAAAAATAGCCTTGATTTCTTTTCATTATTGTTAGAGCTAGAGCAAGGCAACATTCATTAGTTTTACTATTGCACTAGCTACCAATTTCACATAGGGTGACTATTGTCCTAGCCTAAACAACATCATATTGCCTAGTCTAGCCTTAGGCCTGCTCTACCTCCTCGTCCGATTCGGGCTCCGTTGCGTTGTTGCCCCAGAACCCGTCTGCTTGGATGTCGTTGTCTACCTCTACCTCGTGGCTCAGCTGGCTTCTGCGGTGCGCCATCGCGAGATGGTCTTCGCTCCCGTCAAGAGCATTGCTGATGCCGCACGTGAGGAAGGCCTTCTTAATCAGGTCGGCGGGCACGGCCTTCCACGCCCGTTAAATCCACTTAAGCACCACCGCCGGGGGTGGTTTCTTGATGTTCCCTGCACCACATGAAATGGAGTGGGGAACATGTTAGTCCACAAGCAGGCAGACAAGCACAAGAAGAGGAGACGGGAGGCCATGTCGTCGCTCACCTGCAGGTGTCAGAATGTTCATGCCGTCCGCCTCAAACCAGGACTGGTACTGCTGGCGAACACTAGCTTTGAAGCTCTTGTTCACCGACACATCGAGCGGCTGGACCCCGCCGGGATGACCGCCGGCACGATGTTGAGCGCCGCGAATCTCGCCTTCACTTCCTTGGTAAGGTGACCACGGTAGGAGTCGAGTACTAGCATGGCGCTCCGACTCTGCACGCCGAATTTCGGCTTCAGAAACGGCACCACGCCCTCATCGAGCCACTGGATGACGCCCGTGGCCTCCATCCACCCGTTTGCTTGGCAGCCGACCACGACATCTGCACACAAGCAACCGGGGGTTAGATTTCTTTACGGTATTGTTATGAATGTTTTAAACAATCACAAGAACATGTGCTTACCGTTGGGAAAGTCGCCCTTCGGCAGTGTTTTGCGCTTGAAGAACACCCACGGCTTCAACTTCTCGCCCGTCGCCGTGCACGCCAGCATCACGGTGACTCGTTCCTTCTGGTAACCACCGCTACGGATGGGCACCGACTTCACGCCCGTCTGCTCCACGGTGGTAGTGGCCGGCATCTCCAACCATAGTGGCGTCTGGTCGGCGTTGATTATGTACCGATTGTCGATCGCGTACTCGTTGCGTGCGTCGCGGACAAACTGCCAAAACTATTTGCACTGCGTCGCCACGTCTGCACACGGGGAGGGAAGGACAGATAGGAAGAAGGATGAGTACCGCAGCAAGATAAACATGTTCACACAGGAGCAAATACTAATAAACCATGCGAATTCGCGCGTGGTAACGGGGAAAAGAGGCACTTACGTTCCTGTGTTTTCTGCGCCACCTTAGTTTTCATGCGCACGCTGAGGTTCCACCGCTTGCGGAACCGCTCCGACCACCGCTGACTCCCTTTCCACTTGACTTCCGGGAACAGCACCTTCATCACCTCGCGTGACCAATCTTGAAGCCGGCCGACTGAAACTGCAACACCGCGGCGTCGCCAGTCGAGGAGTTGTGCGTAAACTTTTAACTCCATGGGTCTGTACCAAGAAGACCTCCCGCGCCCATGAAGTCGACACCGTGCGGCGTGTGAAGCCTTGAGCTCCTTCGCTTGGGTTTTTCACTCCGTCAGGCATTTGCGGTGTATGCCGGACTCCCGCGCGACCTCGCTTATCGATGCCGCCAGCTCCAGCCGCACGAGCAACCTTAGTTTCTCCTGGGCGATGTAGGACTGCCGCTTATGTTGAGACGGCTTGTGCCTGGGGGAGGGGGGGCGGGCATCTCGGTTCTCGGAGGAGGGGTGGGGTCGTTTTTTGTTAATCGGCGGATACGTCGGTATCAGCATCTTCTCGCGCGGTGCGTCGCGCCACCATGACTCCACACCGTCGTCGTCCTCAGCAGATGCACCACGATCTGGGAACACATCCTCCTTGGCGCCCGTTTCCCCGTCGCCTCCACCGTCGCCGTCGCCGCTGTTTTGTTTATCGGCGGCCACGTCATCGTCGGCACCCACAGCCGACTCGTCCCACGTGCATGCTTGAGGCTGTCCCCACTGTGGTGCAGGCGGCAGAGCCTGGATGAACACATCGGGGGCCTTGGGTGTGTCAGGTTCAGACAGCCACTCGTCGAAAGTGGCTGGTAAATACAGCTGGAGCACGGGCCGTTCGTGAGCACTCGCACCGATATCAGGCGGATTCGGAGGAGCGGGAGGAGCGGGAGGAGCAGGAGGAGCAGGAGGAGCAGGAGGAGCAGGAGGAACAGGGGGCGCAGGGGGTTCAGGTGGCACTGGAGGCGCTGCTGGCTCACGGGTATACCACCCGTCTTCGGTAAGTCGCCACGGGCGATGAGGTTTTTTCTTGAAGAGGAAATGCGTCCCGCTGAATTCCGCCATGGCTTCGCCAGCCAGGCGGCCTAGACTGGAATGTGAATGAAAGAAATGAGAATGAGGCTGCACAAATGGGCAACGAAGGGGACCCCGTAAGGTTGGCGCCTCGGGGTCCTCGTCAATGACAGGCGGGAAACCCTCGCCTACCCCCGTAGAGGACCCTGCGTGGCAGCATAAACGCTGCGCTGGCATGGAATCTTCCCCACCCTTCGAAAGGGTTCGGATGAAATGCACATGCCACGCAGCGCATGCGGCTGTGATTGGGCCGCACGGCAACATCCCCGTCACTGCTGTCACGTTCGATGGTTCTAGACAAAAATGTGCGGTGGGAAACCGAACCGCTGCTATTTTTGCCTGAAAACCATGCACGGTTCCACGTGTTGCATGGTCGGTTGAATTCGCCTTATTGCGGGCTTCAATTTGGTATGTTCAAAAGTGATTTTTTTTTTCCTATTACAGGCGCATGCGCTTATACAAATTACTCAATTAGAAGCACACCCCCCTAAAAAACACTGTTTTATTATAAGCGCACCTGCGCTTCTATCCGGGGTAATACGGTATGTCATGTGTACCTTGTAGGCTAAGTTGGGTTGAACTGTAGAAGGTATAGGATATTTGATATACCCCCCTCTGTATGTCATAGTGCCCCATCGTTCAGTTTTTTACAATTTTGCACGAAAAGTGGTTGGTGACCAGGGCTAATTTTTGGTTTTGAGCAACCCTTATGATCAGTGCTGCACCTAAGCAAAAACCTGATTATCAGTGTGACCCGGTAGGAAATTTCTTTTGCATCAGGGTTCAGGATAGGTTTGAAAATTTTACCCTGAGGCATCAGTGTAAGACTTGTAAAAACCCTGCTCAGTTATTGTTACAATGAGTTTAGTCCGAGTTGAGTCCTTGGCGTTGTGTAGAGCGAAACTGTATTTCTGGCCTATAGTGGCCCACTTCGTGCCAACACATGTACGCAAATTCAGGTTTTGACAGTTGGCCAACGGGAATCCCTAGTTACGGGAAAATGGGGGGAGGTCCGGGGGGGGGGGGGGGTGGTACGGTACTAGCTTCAGGGTAAAACTCGCTAAGAAGAACGGTTACCCTGGTGCATCAGTGTGCCTTAAACGTATACCCTGGCTGATCAGGAAAATCACAGCTCCAAAAAAAATTACCCTGAGGCATCAGTGTGACTACCAAAAACCACCCTGATAAATAGGGTATCAGGGTGATTTACAACTGATAAAATTTGGCCTGTTGGTGACATTAATTACCTGTCACTATTTATTGGGAGATATGAATAGCTATCCAACACACGGGCAGGGTGCTTACCCGGTTTGATGAATTTATTGAAGGACCGTAATGTGTTGTAGGGGATTACAGTGGTGCTATGCTTATCATTGTGACACATATTTGTCTGAATGAGCTTGCAACATCCTCGCCGATGCTTTGGAGTCCAAGAAGAGAAATGAAACTGCGTCGATATCTTCCTGAAAGAGCAACCAAACCATCAAAAGACACAATAGAGGGCTTAGGGTTTAGGAAAAAGGAAACAAACAAACAAACAAACCAACATGACAAGCGAATAATACCTTTGCCAGGTTGCTTCGACCATTTGCCTTGGCCACAATACTGCTGGGTGTGAGAAGCTGAACTGCATGTCTGCAAGGCAGTAGTGATGCGCAGCAGAGTAGCCATGCAAGCAAGACAATCTCATGAGCAGACACATCACGGAAGGAGCTCACATGAATCAGGCTCAACACTGTAAGCGACCACACTGGCGCAAGGAATGGCCTGAGGAGAAAGGAAGGGGAGGAGAGCGAACCTGAGGGACGTTCTCTCTGCGATCTCGCCGAGCAAGGCAAGGCAGTGCTCGTCAATGGAGAGCCCCTCCACCTGCGCTCTGATGGCTATGATCTGCTCATGCACCGCGCACACAGGGGGGGGGCAGGCACCACACCTTGAGCATCACTGCTGCACAAACTGGAGAGCTCTTGAATGGTTGCTCCCCTCCTCTTCTGGTTGGATAGTCCCAATGCGGGGAGGCCTTGGTGGAAGTGAATCATGTGATCCAGTGGTTGGCATGGCGTGTGATGGTGATGGCACAGCACACAACAGAGTGCAATGGTGAGATAGGCCAGCAAAAAAAGCAATGAGCATCCTAAACATACCTCAACATCCCATCCACATCACACCTTTAGCAGCCATCACCTTGAGCATCTCGTCGGGGGTATACGGCAGTGTGGTGATGATGACTAGGCGGTCGAGCAAGTCAACCGGGATGCCATGCGGACTCAGCACATCCGTTCCCCTGCTCACATGCCACGCCACGCCATGCCATGCCACGCCATGCAGATACAGCAGCAAGGAGAAGAGAATGCCGAGGAGTAGATGGGAGGTTCACCAGAGAAGGGACAAGGAGTGAGGGGACGAGTGGGATGCGTGCAGGACGAGCAGAAGCTACATGGGTGCTGGAACTAGAAAACAGATTTACAGGCGAAAGGGTTCAAAAGGAACGAGGGCGGGTATGGGAAAGGAAAAGGGGGGACTAGTGGGGAAACGGGCGGGGTAGGGGCGGGTGGGAAGGCGTAGAGATGTGACTAGGAAGAGATGGCATGGTTGTGTGGTTGAAGGGCAGCCGGTGTGGCAGGGTGGTGCGTACCGTATCGGGCAGATGCCTCGGTTGGTGGCGAATATGACTATCGGCGCTAGCTGGCTCTCCAACGCTCTGTTGAGAAACGTGAAGCACTCTATATCGAGCATGTGCACCTGATGTGAGACAAGGGGACAGGGCACAGGTGAGAGGGGACATGCTAGGGAGCCTGGGTATGAGGGAACACACACACGAGCACACACACGCACAAATACCTACACAATATGTCATCAACGCACACACACACACACGAGCGCATGCGCGCACACACACACACACGAGCGCACACCACATCACAGCACACACACACACACACGAGCGCACACCACATCACATCACACACACATGCGTGGGCGCACATGGACACGCATGGGAAGGGAAGCAGGGCAGAGCAGGCAGAGCAGCGCACCTCATCAATGAAGAGCACCCCCGGGATGAGCTCCGCTATGCCCTCGTCTATGTACTTGTTCACCACCTGCTCTCGCCCCCCACCCCCACCCTCGCACACACGCACACGCATCCACCCATCACACGCACACCGAGGAGGGGAGAGAGAAGCCGAACGGGAAGGAGAGAGGTTGAGAGAGAGTGGAGTGTAATTTATCGGAACCTGACAGCATAGTTAGCAAGTGATCAAAGAGAAGAGTCAAGACAGAGAAAACCCCCTTTAATTGACTACAGAATGGCACCCCATCCATCACTCCCTCCCATCCCCTCTTCACACCCCTTCCTACTCTTCACCTCATGCTCTCCCCTCCTACCCTCTCTGCTCTCGATCCACTCACACCAAGCCCGTCTCGCTGGTTGCTTTCCTCCCATCACCACTGCTCCCCTCCCTCGCATCGCACCCAACTCCCCCCTTCCCTTGCCCACGCCCCCCCTGGACACACCTTGTTGATCTCTTGGCGCAGCTTGTCAGTGACCTCGGTGCGCTTGTGCTTCAGCAGCGCGCCCATCATGCTCATGATGTCCTGCCCACCCTGTGGCGCCGCATTCGCCGCGTCCAAATCGTGCAACGTCACGTCCTGATCACAACGCCAGGGGGGGTGGGGCGGAGGGGGAAGGAGGAAGGCGGAAGGAGGCCGGGGAGGGAGAGGAGGGAGAAGGTGAGAGGGGGGAGAGAGGGAGAAGCGAGGGGCGAGATTCGGGTGGAAGGGCAGGACGGGAGCAGGCAGCGCGCAGCAAGGAGGGGGCGCTTTCCACAATAAAGTGCGGAAGCCGGCTTGTGCATTCACACGTCACCTGGTGGAAGGATGGGGTTGCGGTTGAGTGAAGTGGAAGGGCGTGGCACAACGCATGGAAAGAGGGAGGACTCGTGTGAAGGACAACCGTCCCCCACACAGCTGCTACACCTGCCTCCCCTGTCACACTCTTCCCCGACAAGCACACCCCCCACTGAGACCACCTGCCATCCCAGTACCCCAACCAACCCCATATTCACTCTCTACATCCTTCCCCACTTCCCCAACCATCCCTCCCCTTTGCCCTCGTTGTCCCTCTCGCATCGCCCTACCTCACCCTCCCGCCTCTCACTCCAGCACCCACCAACATACACCGCCCACTCCACCGCCTCCCTTCACCACCAACCCTTTCTGCACCACCCATTACGCCCTCGCCCCAACAACCACAGCGCACCTACACACGCTCCTTGCACTTGCCGCTCACCCACTACCCCCTCCTCCATCCCCTCCCCAGGCGCGCACAGCACAGCTTGCTTGCCTGAACGAGCTCCTTGCGCTTGTGCACGTCGCCCTTGGGCACGGGCACGTACTCCTCCGCCTCCAGGTCAAACTCGCTCGCGAATGCGTCGCTGCGCCCCACACGCTTCACCGCACCACTGTTCGCCTCTATGTAGATCACGTCCCCCACTGCCACCTGCGGGACCAGGGAGGGAGGGTGGAAATGGGAGGGGGTAGCCGGAGGGAAGGAAGGGGAAGGGAGGAGCGGAGGTGGGAACGGGATGACATGGGAGAAGGGAAACCTGGGATGAGGTGGGCCAGTGCCACCTGCGGGCATTGGGCATGGGGGGGAAGGGGCAGCGCACATGGGGATCAGGGCAGGGGAGGGAGGGGGTGGTGGGGGAGTGGGGTGTGGGGGGTTACTGTAGGGGAGAGGGGGGATTGGGACGTGGCATGGCTGGTGTGGTGCACACGCCTGGTGTGCTGCACACGCCTGGTGTGGTGCACACGCCTGGTGTGCTGCACACGCACGTACTGAGGGAGAAAGAAGCAAGGGGAGAGGGAAGAAAGGAGGAGAGGAAACCAAGGAGGGAAAGGACCGTTGGAAAGAAATAGTGAGGACCCACGCGAGTGGGTGGGAGGGCATGAGGAAGAGAGGAGGCAGCAGGGTGGGGAGGGTGGCGACGGTTTGGGACCTTTTCCTTGAGCAGCGCGTCATAGATGGAGGGGTCGAGCTTGAGGTGCTTGGTGCCCTTGACGGTCTTGAGCGCCACCACCACGTGGCAGATGGCCTTGCCGTACCCCCCACTCACACTCTCCGTCTCCTCCGCTGCCAGCTCCACCACCTGCGCCGCGCTCCCACCGGAACCCATGCGCGTTGAGGCGCACGCAGAGAGCATGCATGCAACCGGGAAGGGGAGGCGGGAGAGGTGGAGGCGGGTTGGGTTCGGAGAGGGGAGGGTGGGGAGAAACGAGGATAGCGGGGGAATGGGAACAAGAGACGATGAGGAAGCGATGAAGTGGTGGGGGCGGAAGGAAAGGAACAAGGCAAGTGAGAGTACATGTGGTGGGAGCATGGAAGGGTCCGTAGAAGCATAATCGCATGCACGTGAGGGAACATGTGCACCCTCCTTTACCTCACCTCACCGCACCTCCCCTCACTGCACCTCACCTCGCCCTCGTAGACCTCCTTCTTCTCGCGGATGCGCAGGCCAATGGCGCGGCGCATGTGCTCCATGAGCACGGCCGTCTTCTTGACCTCGCTGCTGAACACCTCCGACCCCACCATGGGGCAGAACGGCACCTGCACGCGCGCCCCCCCCCCCCCACGCACGCACATGCACAAGCCGTTTGAGGGGATTGTGAGGTGGATGGAGCTTGCGGTACGGAGTTGAGAAGAGAGGGAAGACATGAGAGAAGGGGAGAGGGGAGCGGAAGGTGGAGTAAGAGAGGGGAGGTGCGGTGGGGGAGGTTTGAGGAGAAACGGAGGACAGTGGCAGAGGAGGCAGGCGTAAGGACGGGATGCGGAAGAAGAGAGAGGGGCAGGGGTCGGGAAGAAGAGGCAGAGAGTGGGATGAAGGTGATGGAGCAGCGATGGTGCGGAGCAGCGATGGCGCGGAGCAGCGATGGCGGGAGGCAGAGCCATGCCCTGTCGTGCGCTCACACTCTTTGGGAAGACACGATATGACGTGTGACGGAAGAGGTGGGGTTGTTGGGTGGGAAGGAGGGTGGGTGAGTGAGTAAGAGAAAACGATCAGGAAAGGGGCGAGGGGAGGGAGAGGAAGAAAAGAGAGGGAGGGGCAGTGGGCAGAGGGGGCAGGAGAAACGACCGGGAGCAGAGCGAGAGCAGAGGTGAGGCGATGTAGAAAACGTAGGCGATGGTTTGGAGCAGGAGGGGGAAGGGAGAGCAAGGGTACGGTGCAGTGTGAGCGCACTGCCATGCACATGACTCCCGAAACCTCCTCAGCGCACTCACCCAACCTTCACAACCTTCCCTTCGCGCGCTCTCTCTCTCTCTCCTCTAACCCCCCTACGTGCTATAAACCCACGCGCTGAAACCCCTAGACCTCGACCCTGGACTCAACCCTAAACCCGCTTTCCACCCAAACCCCGCTTTCAACCCCAACTGCGAGCCCACCCCACCTTGGAGCCCAGCTCCTGCGCGATGCCCAGCGCCAGCGCCGTCTTGCCCGTGCCCGGCGCGCCCGCCAGCAGCAGCGCGCGTCCCGCCATGCGCTTGGAGCGGATCAGATCCACCACCAGCCCCGCCGCCTCGCGCGCTCGCTCCTGCCCCACAAACCCCCCGCCCACCGCCACCGCGCTCCCATCCTCCTGCGAGGAGAGCGCGCGGGCGAGCAGGGGCGGAGGGGGGGGAGGGGGGGGAGGGGGAAGGAAGGGAGGGTTCAGAGACGCTTCAACCGCGAAATTAAATCGTTGGGGGGAAGAGCGAAGTCAGCGGGTAGGTCTGGGCACAGCGGGGAAGAAGGGAGACGGGCGGGGGCACGAGTGGGTGGTGGGTCAGGGATAAGCAGCGACCGGAGACGAGTGCGCGAGAGCAGCAAGGAGACAAGAGCGTGACTGCGATGCATCCAAAGGGGAACGGCGAGTCACATGCGCCAAAGCGCGATGACGATCGGTTCTCGTGGAGCGATCGCAACGTTGGCACGGAAGAGTACAAAATCGCACCCTAAAGCCACGCCTCGCGACCTTCGCGATCCCCCATTGACCTTCGCCACGCGGCGACGTCGGACAACGCGTCCCCACCGCAGATCACTGGCCGTATCGACGGCTTCGACACGCGCGCAGCGGACGGAACAAAAGGGAAAGGCCTGCTGGCGGTTCGAGCCTCTCGCTAGACTAACAAGCCGTAAAAGCGCGGCCCCGGCGTTGGTGGCACCTTGAGGCCGAGCCCCTTGATGTGCGTGTGCGACGCCACGCGCTGCTTCTTGCTCGTCGACTGCACGTCCTCGATCTTCATCCTCGCGCTGCGCCGATCCCCGCACTTCCTTGCTCGAGCGGCCTCCGGGCGACAAGGATGACGAGAGGTGAGATCAGTTCACCAAGGGCGTGTTTCAGAAGCTGACTGGCACATGATGCGCACGAGGGATAGATGGGCTGGCTGGAGGCAACTGGTTATGTGGGATACAAGTGCTTGTATGGGATACAAGTGCTTGTATCCGCGGTTCTGTCCGCTCTGATTTCGTCAGCTGGTTGGTAACGAACGGAACAATTTATCAGCTTTTTATTTCGGATTGCGAAATCTCTCTAGGGCCATTCTTTAGGGATGGATTTGTTCTTGCTGAAATACACGTGAGTTCAAAATTTTAACAGAACACATAGTCTCGTCCATCAGTTTCTTTTTCCAAATAAGCAATTCTTGCTTGCACAACCTAAAAACCACCATACAACTCTGATGGTCATTTCAGTAACAAGCATTGCACATGGAAAACAGACATGGGAACAGCATGGTAACTACAATTATATCACCAAAAACAGAACCCCTGTGCTCTAGACATAAATACTACAGTCATTTTCTCCTGAATTCCCCCAGAGTCCCTACCACCAAAGCTATTCACAGCGCGAGACGCCTTATCTCTAGACCGAATGGAGACCAATACCCACAGAAGTTAAGCACACACCACTAAGCGCGCCACCGGATACCACCTTACCCTCCCGAGACCACTTCCGGCCACCCTTCGAGCCACGCAGACTCCGTCCCCTAAGTCAGCCCCCACGCCACGCCCATTATGACCTACCCTTGCGCGCCTTCCACTTGCGCGCGCGACTCCCTCCGATAAACCGCTCCGCCGCGCCTTCCAGAAGTCCATCCAAAAAAAACTCTACCAAGACTAAGCCAGCTCTACCAAGACTGTCCCGCTGTCCTCTTCAACTCCGGGCGCCGAATCGTTTTCTCTAACGCTCGCGATTCAGCCGCCGAGCCACCACGTGCCTTTTCTCCAATGAAACTATGTTTAAGTAGGGGAAGGCAGGATGCCGGCCTGCACGGTGCCGTCGCCCTGGAGCGCGCACTCGCGCTTGCGGACGTTGAAGTTCATCTGCACGAGGAACTTGGTGCCGTTGAACCCCTTGACGTTCCACACCTTGCCGCCCTCCTCGTAGTTAGTGGGGCCGTACCTCCACTCGCACAGGTCCGCGTTCTCGATCTGAGACTTGGCCACCACCCACCCGGGCTTGTCGTTGCGGCCGTGGAACGGATTCGTCGCGAGCTCCGACAGCTCGTGGCCGATCTTATCCACAACCGAGTCGGCACCCAGGTCGCCGTTCACGCCGCTGAACGTAGGGTCGAAGTACTGGTACGTGCAGTACTGCGGGCACTGCTTAGCGGGGTTGCCCACAAACGCGTACGCGAGCTGGGTGCCGTTGAAGGTGGCGCTGGTGTGGTAGGCGCAGAGGCCCTTGCAGAAGTCCGTCACGTACACGTCGGGGCTGGTGAGCACCAGGTACGCGGCGTTCGAGTCCATGGGGAAGTAATTCTTCTGCGACTTGTCGAACGCGCTAGCCAGGAGCAAGCGGACGTTGTCGTGCGTGAGCGGGTTCAGCACAGTGCCGAGCGGCGCGAGCTTGTACTTGGCGTTGATCTCCTTCGACAGCTTCACGTACGGCGTCGCGCGTTCGTTCTTGCCGTTCGTATAGTACCGCACGTTAATCGCCCACCACCCAACGACGGTCGGATACTTCTGGTAGTTATTCTTCGAGCGGTCCAGGGACACGAGGAAGCGGCGGATGATGCGCTTCTGCTTCTTGCTCCACCGGCCGTACCATAGAACGTACACCTTAAGGTCGTTGGGCTCGGTCATCATCTTGCCGCCGTGATACTTGAGATACTGCCCCATGTTCGACGTGTACACGTCGGCCTGTCCAGCCGAGGCCTGCTGATCCGCGGGAAGCGCGGCGGCGCTCTGGATGGCGGCGGCGGCGGTTTCGTTGACATCGCGGATGGACTCGGCGGCCTGCGCGAGGTGGAGGCCCTTGTTGACGGCCGTGGCCATGTAGTGCAGGTACCCGCGCCCCTCGTTCTCCGCGTCGTTGGCCATCCCTGCGTTCTTGTCGCTCGTATCCACCGTGCTCATGCTCCACGTGCCGCTCGGCAGCTGGATAATCTCCGGCTCCGCCGCGCTAGTGAGGGATGAGGCTGCGACGACAAGCACGGCGACGGCGACGAGGGCCGCGCTCGTCAACCACAGCGGGCGTCCTTGACCCCGCGTCATCGCGATGCGCTCGAAGAGACTATTTAGTTGCTACTACTACAGGCTGAATGGTTTGTGATGGTTGCTATTGAGCTGTTGAGCCTATGGAACGAAGGGCGGATATTAACAGAGTCTAGATCAAGCTTCGTGCTGGAGCGTTGGAGACCCTAGATGTTGCAAGACGGGGCAAGATTAGTTGTGAGAATGGGCTCCTAAAGGAGAGGGAAGGAAGGGGTGACTGCGAGATCGCAGCAGCGAATGGTTGGAGGTATTGGAATGATGGTCGGAGTGGGGGTTTCGGCGGCAACTGGACAGCAGGGGCGGGACTGGGGGGACGTTGCGTGCCCTGCTTGCTTGGCGGTGAGGCGGGAGCACAAACGAGCAGTCAGCGCATAAGGCACAGGGCAGGGGCAGCTGATGATGGCAGCAAAGCCAAGCAGACCCGCTTGGGCGGAAGCAAAAAGCGCAGTCGGCTGGACTGGAGGTGGCGGGCAAAAACTATCGATTCGTTTGAGTCCCCCTTCGTCCATGCGTGTTGCTTGCCTTGCGAAGGTCGTGCGATTTCTACCGCGACACGAGACGAATTGGCGAGGACAGTCGCACAATCAAGCAAAAAGGGCGAGGCGCACCCATCACGGAAACCAAGAGATGGGGACCTAGGATTCCGCTGGAGGCCTTGTCAGAACGGAGCCGCCCATGTGTGCTTCAAAACTGTGCGATTCGGCACTCAAAATCGAAACGCGCGAAAGTTTGTTTCTACGAAATGACCTGGATGGCTGCGACACGAAACGAATATGGCATTGAGCTTTCGCATCATATGGGATTGCGACAGTGTCATCCCCCGATAATACCATCATTCCAGTGTCAGGTGACCCACTATCGACAGTGCGTCGTGTGCACGAGCTCTGTCAGGCATGCACTTGCTCAAAATAACTAACTCGAATAAATGGATACACTTTCTATGGAATTGAAAATCACCTTAATTCGCACTTAGTTCAAACACTAGAACGCACTGCACCGAGCAGGGGCCTTGTTATCAGACCAATTTTGTCTGATAGTCTGATTTTCAGACTTAGTTTTATTTGTTCATCTTACTTGTAAGATTTTAATTTTATGTCTGTCTGATCACTAAGACAAATGTATTTACTTCAGATGAAATTTCAGACCGCATGATATTCTTCATCTGAGTTTCCATATAACGAGTACGATTCCGTCTGAAACCAACATTTCTGGCCACTAGGCCATAGGGCCACTAGGTACGGTACCTGCCAGCCTGTATAGATGCATTCGTAATAAATGTGTCTGTCCCGTGGCTTCTGCGCTGGCGAAATCCAACACCGCTGGCAGCAGTTATGAATCAGATGCTGCCAGCACTTTATCGCTGCGTGGGTGTCGGCGCCACTGCCACCTATATAAAAACACCGACACTGTAAGTTTGTGCAGCCAAGTCCTTTCCTTGAACAAAACGACAGGAAAGGCGTGCCATGTATGCATCACACATGCACGTAACTGTGGTTCCCGGCCCCCACCCCCCCCCCCCACGCATCACTCTGTCGCGCTACGAGACGAGGGTTTGAGGGACCACGCTGGGGGCACTCCCTCCATCTTGCTCATACGTTTCTTGCACTTCACCCAGTTGGTCTTGCAGTGCCGCTAATCACCCGCAACATACCTCCCGATGGCCATTTCTCCCCAGGAAGACCACCCTGGAGTCTCAGCATTAGATTTCCTCACACGGGGCAAGCAGGTCCCCGACGTTGCACCACCCCCCGTTGCCTCGTCCTCCGCCCATGTTCCACTGCCAGTCAACGCCTCGCCCGACTCTGTGCCTTCCTCACATGGCATGCCCTCAACCTCTAAGGCTACCACACCCATTTCGCCATGTTTTGCTTCCACTGGCCGTGAATCCCACCACCCAGCTGTTTCGATTGCAACAACCGAGACTCTACGAGCTAACCCCGTGCTGCCTGACAGGGCTTCACTGGAAGCTAAATACAAGCAACGGAGGCTTAACTTTGTCCGTCCCGCAGATCCTACGTTGCCCGCGCCATCGGAGATGATCCCGCCCGCGACTCATCACTCCGCCGATGACGCTGACGAAGACGCGGACAAGGACAAGGGTCGGCGACAGCTGTCTGTGGAAGAGCTGCAGGTCAAATGTAAGGAGCAGTGGCTGCACTACTTCCCGTGGCTCTTCATCAGTGAGACCAAGGACGGGCGACCTTGCATGCGCTGCAGCGTCTCTATGGTGTTCGGCGACCCGCACTACAAATACGACCGCTACGGTGAAGGCGGCCTCGATATTCAGAAGTAGACGATGCGCAAGCATCATTTTAGCGTCAAGCACGAGGCGGCGGTGCTGCAGAAGGAACAACGTGACGGCCAGAAGGAAGGCCAGAAGTCCACCATCGACTTCGACAAGGGGGACGACGACGCCAAGCGTATTGCCCGATTAATGGCAATCGCTTTATTCATTTGCAAATCCGACGCCCCTATTGTGCTTTTCGTGGCTCTTGTTCAATTCATGGCTGAGCAGGGTACTCCTGACATGCCGTTGAAGGAAAACGGCACGTACTACAGCGAGTGAGTAATGTCTTTGTATCCCGCATGTCTTTGTATTTCCGCTCCACATTGCTCACGGCTTCATTCATTGTTTATGCGATACAGGTACGGTTTTGCTCAGCTTGTGGAAACGATGGTGTCATACCTGCGGTCCCGTCAGCTGAAGTACATCTGCGCCAGCCCCTTTCTCGGGATCCAGTTGGACGAAAGCACGGACCGAAGGCACGGGAAGCACATGATCGTCTACATGACTTTTCTACGCGACAACCTTCCAGTCACGGAGTTCTACACCCTGCTCACAGTCGAGCAGTGTGACGCCGCCTCGCTGCTGACCGGCCAGCTAACGCATCTGGAGACAACGGGCATCGATTTGCAGCGCATTTGCGGTATGAGCACGGACGGCGCCACTGTGATGACAGGCCAGCACAACGGGCTGGTCGCGCGCCTCCGCTCGAAGATTCCTCAACTTGTTTCGTGTCACTCTGTCGCTCACAGGCGATTTATACCTGGTTGTATGTTTTGCAGGTTTTGTCAAGCATGTACTGACTTGTTGTCGGTTGAACCTTGTAGGGAGGAGCTGGCAGCTAAGGATGCAGCAACTGCATTCCCAGACCTCCAGATCGTAGACAAGGTGGTCCGTTCTGTGGTCGACATTCTGGGCGCCTTGTGGTTCATACTCGGTTCAAGGAGCTTCAAGAGGTTATTTGCGAGACTCATCTGGAGATGCAGGGGATAAAAGACGTGAGGTGGCTTTCAAGAGGCCATGCGATACAGCGACTCGTCGCGGTGTTTTCCGCAGTTGTGATCGTCTTGCAGGAATTCGACAGTAAGATGTACGCGGCAGTGACTAGTTTCAAGTTCCATTTCTTACTCTACTTGCTTGCCGATGTGTTAAAGGAGTTGAACCTGCTCAACTTGAAGTTCCAGCAACGACAGGTACGTGATTTGGTTTGCGGTTCTAGCTCCCCTCGTTTTGTGTGGTCATGTCTTAACTATTTGTGCTTCATGCTTGTGCAGATTGACGCAACCCATGTGCTGCAGACGGTACACAACACCACCCTCCTGCTCCGGACTCGTTACCTCGACAGCAACGACGAGACGTTCGGGCAGGGCGCGGCGCTGGGGCCATTCCTGGCCAAACATGGCTCGGGGGAGTGCCGGGAGGTGAAGGTTGCTGGCCCAGATTCCACCGGAGCGCCAACAACTCACCGCTACTTGCTGCATGAAGAGGCTATCGAGGGGCAGACGAGCAAAGGCGACCTCAGCTCCTGTTTGATGCTGGCGCGCGACTTCGTTGTTGAGCTGATTGGGAGGCTCGACTTCCGACTGAAGGATCTCGCATCGCTCAATGGCGCGAAGCTCTTCAAGAAGTCCCAATACTCGAAGTCCCAGGTTAAGCGCGAGCGTCGGTTGGCGCAGTGGCTGCAATCTCTGCGCGACATGTACAAGAAGCATCCCGAGGATCCGGACACTCTGCCAGGTTTGTTAGGACTAGTGTCGTGAGATCCTGAGGCTTGTTCGGTTTATTTTCCGCGTCACTAAACATTCGTGTTCATTCCACGCATTTCTGTCTTCCTCTATCCACCCGCCTATTCTTACAGGTGTGGACTGGGCCAAAGCACAGAGGGAGCTCACAACCTTCGCGACGATCATGAGCACCCACCAAGAGGATGTCGGCTTTGCGGAGGGCGTGCAGCACATGCTCTCCTCTCCGGACTGGACAACGAGCTACCCCAACATTGTGCGTCTGTGGATCGCCATAGCCGTGCTCCCGCTGAGCACTGTGGAGTGCGAACGCGAGTTTTCAAGGCAAAACGTGATCAAGAGCTGGCTGAGGGGGAACCTGTGCGACGCCAAGCTTGGCGAAGTCATGACCGTCTCTCTTTTGAGCTACGACATGGAGTGGCCCGAGTTGGTGGCGAGGTGGCGTAAAACCAAGAAGAGGAGGCCTGCAAAGGATGTGCTGCTGGCGGGAGTGGAGAGGGAGAGCAAGCGCACGAAAAACAAATCCGCAGCAGCAGCAGCAGCTGCTGTGGCAGCGGCAGAGTCAGCAGCACGAGAAGCTGCAGCAGTAACAGAAGCAGCCAGACTGGATGCAGAGTTCCCCTGGCTCAGTCGCAGGGGGAAAGAAAAGAACCCTATTCCAGTGCCGCCTGATAGCCTTGACAGCAGTAGTGAGCATTATAGTGGTAGCGATTCTGACTGAACTGTAGGCTAGTCTGCTGCATGTCCAGCGAGTATAAGTTCTACTGCTAGTTGTTGTTAGTTAGGTTGTTTTAGCCTGTAGAAGTTGTGTAGACCGCAGAAAAAAAAAAAATCTGATAGTTCAGACTAGTGCTAATGTTTCATCTGACACGTCAGACTAAAAAAAAAATCATAATCTGAACGTAAGTCGAATTTCTTTTTCATACGCATGTTTTCAGACAGGCCAGAATCCTAGCGAGAGCCCTGGCACCGAG